CCCATTTCTGTTAGCAGTCTCCCTAATTTTGCAGTTCACAGTTTTAGCTGCTTCCTAGTCTAATGAAAGACAGAATGAATGTGCATTTCTTTCTCTCCTTTTTTTTTTCCTACTACTGGGGTTTGAACTCAGGGCCCCACTCTTGCTAGGCAGATGCTCCACCACTTGAATTATGTCCCCAGGCCTTCATATTTTGTTTTTCAGATAGAATCTCATGCTTTTTACGTGGGTCAGCCTCAGACTGCAGTCCTCCTACCTATGCTTCTTATGGGATTACATGCATGTGCCACAGTGCCCATCCTGCACTTCTGTATCTTGTTCCCTTGCTGCTCTTAGATTTTGAGGAAAGGAGAGAAAGGGTCATCTTATTCCTCCATCCCAAGCCTGGAAGACATCACGCCTTTGTGGATGCCAGCTTTTCTTCCATGGGGACACCCATGTTCCTGGGCAACATCACTGGCTCTCTATCAACAGTGGTTTTGTTAACGGCAATGGTGTAATCTCTGGTCACAAGATTTCTAAATTCTTTGTGTCCCACATGGAAGAATCCATCGCAGGACATGTGGATGTAAATGGAGTTTATTAAAAGTTAGGGGGAATTACAAAAGGGAGCATGGCAGGACCAGGTGGAAACTGGAAGCAGACAGAGTGTGTTTCTCTTTTCCAGGTGTTAACGACATTGGTACAGTCTGTGATCAAAAGACTTCTAAACTTCTTGCATCCCATATGGAAGAATCCATAGCAGGACACATGGGTGTAATTGGAGTTTATTAAAAGTAAGGAGAGGAAATTACAAAGGGATCATGGTGGGCACAGGTGGAGTCTGCAGGCAGAAGGAGAGTACTTCCCGTCTCAGGTGCTTTTAAAACTTATGCTAATCTATGGAAAGGGAGGAATCAGGTGATTCTCAGCCAATGATCACTGGGGAGGGGGCTTCGAGGGCAGTCTGAGCCATCCCTGGGCCAGGTGTGGTCAACCTACACATGTAAGAGGCACTCAAACTGCTTTTGCTGAAAAGCACTGGCTTCTCACTTGGGCCCACAAATTAACTAAAAACAGGAGTAACTTGGCAGTCCTACCTCCATTTTGTATCTGTTTTTGCTCTAAGCCATTTTCTTTATAGTCATTTTTCAATCGCCTTGGATTCCAAAAAGAACAGAACTGAGAATATCTTTATGACAATGAACTGGAGCCACCTGGAGCTGCCGCCCTCCCAGTGAGGACAGTTATTCCAAGAATACTCTCAAACGGGAACCACATTACTCCCTCCAGGTAATAACTTCACAAAACAGGACTAGACCACCTGCCTGACCAAGATTGCTTGCCCCACCAGTCAGGAGACCAACCAGACCATACCTGACTAGTACTTTGTTCTCTGCCCCCAGTTCTTTTGTTTGTTTAAACCTTTAGCTCACATCTGTACACAAAGATGGCTGAGGATGAGCTGAGTGCTTACTGTTCCTCTTCCCATGGCATGTCCCAAGCCGTGTAATAAATCTTTCTCTGCCTTCACCATGCCTCTTTATTTGGCGTTTAGGGGCCAGACCTGGCATATGGAGTCTCAGGAGTTTGGGCCTTGGGTTCAAAACTCCAGTTTCAGCTTTGGTGAGCCAACCAGGAGAAAATGCTTCCTTTAGGCACTAGCCACTGTAGCTAGTTGACCCTGGATGGAGAGGAAAGATGGGAACAGTTCCCTGAAGCTGCTAGAATTATTTTTATTCCAGAGACCTTTTTTCATCCTTCCACTCCAGACAGCATGGGCTGCTTTTTTTTTTTTTTTAAATCACCGTTTGGTGAAGCAGAGAATGAGTTTAAGACCTTTTCAGTGGGCCCCCTAATGGCCTCTCCAATAGCACACAATTGGACCTTCCTTTTCTTGTCATTGTTCAGATCATTTGCCTTGACAAAAAATTGAAATTTTGTGATCTTTGTCTTGTTCCTCTATTGTTTGAGCTCTTTGGAGCTATTTTAAGCTTAGGCCATTTGTGTTTGTAGACAGAAACTTGAAGAACCAAGTCGTAAAGGGAGCGACACGAGGTATGAGGATCAGGGAATGTAGAAGCTCTCTCTTGCAATTTGTGTAACCGTGGAAAATACTAAGTCTAAAACAGCTTAAGAATGAATAGTGCTAAGACCATCTTGCCCCCTAGGGAGAATTCTAGCTGACTAGTCTACTAAGACAAAAAAAAAGACTTTTTTTCAGAATTAATGTAATTGTTTTTGTATTTTGTGTGTGTGTCTATTATTGTATGTCTATAATCATTGGCTTATTAGAGGCAAAAACCTGATAGCTATGAGGACAGTCTTATTGAAGACTGAGACTGACTTTTCTAGCTGACTTTTGCTTCAGCTATCAAGCCTCCTAAAAATGAGTCCTAAAAGAACACCACAGGATACACCTCAATCTGCTCCTGGAATTTCGAGAAATAACTGAAATGTACTGTGGCCACTAAATTAATTTTTACATGTTCTTGAACTCTTGAAACTATGTGTGCTTTAAATTGACATTTGTGGCATGGCTAATTTAGAACTGTTTACATATGCGTGTATTTATATGTGAGTATCATTGGGATGATTCTTACTGTAGAATTAATGTAAGATATTGTTGCTTCTGTTCTCGATCTCCCACACCTCTTCTGCTGCTAGTTTAAGAAAACCAGTTTTTCAAAGCTATCTTGACCAGGCCTAACTAAATGCAGACATTCAGGAATTAGCTTCTGCTTTAGGACTAAGGAAAAGGCCTATATGGACAATAACCTTAATCTGCTTCATTTTATTGTGTGATTTACACTCAGCTCTCTTTTATAGTTGGATCTATTAACAAATGTGTTCTTGTAAATTGCTATTGCATAGAAAAACAATTTAAGATTACTTTTCTTCCTGTGTCTAGATTAAAATATGAGTAATAGAGTATTTTATTTTAATGGGAAAAAAATCAATTTTGTCTAAGTTCAAAATTTTGTAAAAATTTTCAATGTATAAATTAAAAAGGTTTTAAAGCAAAGCTTATCAAGAGTTTATGTTTATGTATATAATTAAGTTGGCTTTAATTTAAAAATTGCCTAAAGAATTTTCTAAGATCAAAATTTAGTGTACTGATATAAAGCTAAAACTTAATTCTCTATGTCTATAATAACAAGGCTATCTTGATATTGTTCTGTTCTGAGTAACATTTGTAAGAAACTGACTTTGAATCTTCAAATCTGCTAGACTCACCAAGCTGGGATTTTTTCCCTTCAAAGGAGTCTTTTCCTTTCTCACCCACACCCCAGATAAGAAAACTTTCTTGGTACATAAAATGTTTTCTAGCTAACCTTCTACTAGTGGTACAATCCTGGGACCCAGCTTTCTGTCTGGGAGCCTCCATGCCTAATCCTGGCCTCTGCTCCTGCACCGCCAAGCCTTCATAGAAAAATGGCTGATACCAGCGGGAGTGGGAAAGATACAAGACGAATTCGAAACATAGCAGAAGCATTAAGACTACTAGGGTAGTGTCAAAAGGACACCAGAGTTAACCTAAAGACGCTCCGACTGGCTGAAGGTGGGACAAATTAAAGCATCAGTAGTGCTAATAACTGCAGTGTATTTAAATCCACCAAATGTTTCAATCCTGGTTTGCATTATGGTGTTTGTTTAATAATTCATCAACTTCAAAGGATGACAGGGTAGCAATTTATTATCTTGAAAATGGGTAACAAGTGCTAAAATCAAGCATTTATCCTGCCTTTTTTCATGAACTCTTCTTGCGGGTGACCGCAGAGTAGTTGAGAAGTGTCTCCTCACAAATGTATCAGCTGTTGAATGAAAAAGAAATGATGCAATTAAACATCACCATTCCCATCCCCAGTGAAGCAGAGGGTAAGGATTAAGCATCGTCTCTGCTCACATTTCTGTTATGGTTTGGATAAGCGTCCCCCAAAGGCCTATGTACGGGAGGTTTGGTCACTAGCCTATGACACTATGAGGAGGTGGTGGAGCCTGTAGGTGAGGGAGAAAGTTAGACCAGTGGCGGTGCTCTTGAAGGGAACATGCCCGCCCCCTTTTCTCTCTTTGCTTCTCTGGGAACATGAAGGAGGTTGCTTCCTCCAGCATGTGCCTCCACCATCATGCACTCTTTCACCACAGACCCGAAAGCAATGATGCCAGGTGGCCATGGACAGAAACTTCTGAAACCATGAGCCAAAATAAACCTTTCCTCTCTTTAAATTTATTTTCTGGGGTATTTTATTATAGTAACAGAAAGCAAATACAGTCTCAAAAAAGAGAGACAAGCAGATATCAGGTGCCTCTTGACAAAAGAGCACCTTTAACACCTAGAGGCTCACTAAAAACCTTGAACCTGGGTCTGATCAAGCCTCCAGCTCCATTGTCAATTTGCAGGAAACACAGAGAACAAAGGAATATGTGTACAAGTAATAAGCAGTCACTGCTGGTGGAGTTGGCTCAAGTGATAGAGCACCTACCTAGCAATCATGAAACCTTGAGTTCAAATCTCCAGAACTGCCAGAAAAAAAAAAAAAAAGACAATCACTGAAGTCCAGACTGGAAGTCTCTATAGGGCAATGGCACAACGTCTTCCACCGGTGCATGGGGTACTGGAGTTTGAACTCAGGGCTTTGAGCTTGATAGGCAGGCGCTCTACCACTTGCCCTCCACCAGTGCACTGTAAGGAAAAGAGAGACGGATAAAGAAGCTACAGATTAAAAGGAGAGTCCTAAAACATCAACGAAATGAGCAAGGCTGACCTGCAATGTCTAGAGAGGCACACCTGGGTAATAATACAAAGAGCCCAAGGAAGTCATTACCGTAAAAGAGAGGACCATAGTTACTTCTAGAATGGGGGGAGATCAGAATGGGACACAGAGAGGGTATTAAGGAGTGACAGCAAAGTGCTATTCCTCCGCTTGGGCGGTGGTTATAAGGGCGTTGGTTTTCAGTACGATTCCCATTTGTGTCGTTTTCTATATATTGGAGACTTGGTTCAACTAAGAACTTCTCACTCCACGATGCAAGGCAACAACCAACACAGGCAGGGGTGGCCAGGTCTAAGAAAGGCCTTGCTAGCACAGCTGGGCTTGGCGCCATGTCCCGCGCTACCGTGCAGGGGATGCACTGCAGGGGGCGCTGCAGGCACGTGGGACCAGGAGAGGACAGCAGTTCCCAGTCCCGCCCTAGCCACACAGAGGACTAGCCCTGGCCTCCAACTCCACGCGATGGCGAGGGAGGATGGACAGGGCGCATCCCACTCAGCGAAGGGACCAGCGCAGCGACGCCGACAGAGGGCACAGAGCTGGCGTCCAGCGGGTGGCCTTCGGCTTTGGCCCTGCGGGACACGTGCCCTGCAGGACCGAGCAGAGCCGGCTGGACCCTCGCGCTGCGGGAAGCCGAGCCAGGCGGGGATGGGGGTCCCCCGGTGGGCTGGCGCGGGAGGTCGGAGCCCTGAAATCCTCCGCGCCCCACCAGCAGCCGGCGTCCGGGAGGAGGCCGTGACCCGACCCTCGCCTCTCTCCAGGCCTCACCTCTGGCCGCCTCCCAGCCTAGCTTTGGGCTCCGGACCTGGTAGCGCCGGATTTGGGTGCTTTCGCCGTCCCCCCCCCCGCCCCACCCCCGTAATCCCAAGCACGGAGGCCTGGCCCGATCAGGGAGGATCTAGGTCTGGGCGTCCCCATGCCCTGCCTCCCCCCTTTTCACGGTCTCTGAGATGGCCGGGCCGGGGCTCGTGACATGGGGACAGGGGAGACCGCGACAGAGACCAGGGGCTGGTGGATTTCCGTAGGGACCACGGTAAGTGGAGTCGGCTTGGCGCTGCTTCACTTCTTTGCCCATGCACGTGACAGATTGGGAAACTGAGGCCGCCACCGTCGTCAGGGACGTCGGGGAGCTGCGCCTGCCTGGCAGGCCGGGAGCTTTCCGCGGAAGAGAGCGCAGGAGACGCGTCACTTGCCACCCGCTCACTCCAGCAGGTAACGCCAGCCAGCCCTGGCCCTGTCCGCCCGCTCAGGTGTGCTCGTCCGCAAGACGCCCGGGGAGAGCACAGGAGGCCAGGAGGCCCCCGACCCGCCAGCCCGGCCTCCCCGCTTCCTCCCGCGCGCACTCCCGGGCCCGGGTGGCCGCCTGCGCGCTCTGGGGTCCACGGCACTGGTTTCCTCGCGCCCCAGCCAGTGTAAGGCGCACCCAGGGGCGGCGCCGGACTTGGAGTCACCAAGGTCAATGTCCTGCCTTTCCTGATGCTTCCCACAGGGATTGACCTGCATGGATTGCAGAAGGGCGAGTTCAGCCCAGCTTGGCGGCCCCAAAGGAGGTCACAGCATAGGAGGCCTCATGGCAGTAGAGCCAAGTGCGTTAGGAAATCCTCAGTTCGACCTAGTGTGTGGGGCGATCCCCACCCCACTCCACCCCACCCCACCACACCTCACCACATCCTGGCAGATCCATGCCTCTTGGACCTCTGTTCCCTTGCTCAAAGGACACAAGGACACCACTCCTGGTACTGCGCTGTGAGTTCTCTCAGACTGCGCAGGCTGGAAGAGCCTCCTCTGAGCTACTGGGAGAGGGGGACCTGCGATGTGACAGACCGGGTTCCTTCTCCTGGGGCCTCCAATCCGCGGAGGTGACAACAAAAACTGGTGCGTGAGTCAATGATGTCAACTGGTAATAAGTGTTCTGAGAACAAGATAGGGAGGATGGTGTCATGGCATGGTCTCTGCCTTAGGAGTGAAAGGAAGGAGGCTTTTCATTGCTATCCATCTCTACCTTTTGAGTATTGTGACATGATATCTTTCTATTGAAAATAATTCTTTGAAGAAAATTATTCCAAAATAACCAACAATAAATCAGATGGGAGGAGTGAGCGATATGATCAAACATCATAAAATTCATGGCTTCAAAAAAAGAAGGCAAATAAAAAATTAAGGAGAAAACAAAAAAAAAGAAAAAATTAATTAAAAAAGAAAATAATCACTGTGTGTGGTGATACTCACCTATGACCCCAGCACTAGGAGGCTGAGGCAGGAAGATCTCAAGTTCTACACCAGCCTGGGCCACACAGAAAAACTTTTCTTTTTTTTTTTTGTAGCCAGGTTCCTGTGGCTCACATCTGTAGTCCTAACTACAGACCACCTCCTGTGGCTCAGGAGGCAGAAATCAGGAGGATCGTGTATTGAAGCCAACCAAGGCAAACAGTTTGCAAGACCCTATCTCAAAAAAAACCATCACAAAAAAAAAGGCTGGTGGAGTGGCTCAAAGTGTAGGCCTTGAGTTCAAAACCTATACCACAAAAAAAAAAAAAGACTCTCAAAAACACAACAAAATAAGCCAAAAAGGAGCAAAACTTTATTTCTGTGATCTGAAGCCAAAACATGCCCCAAATGGTTATGAAATTACTCCAGGGAAGGGTGCAAGATTTGGAAGAGGCAACAGTTCAGGGTAATCCGTAAGTGTGATTTTTATTTTGACTTTTAAGAAAAGGAATGTGTTTTATGCATTGTTTGTGAACAGAATCAATCTAGATATAGCAATGTCCTGTAAGGAAACCTGAAAGAAGCAGGAAAGGGCCTCATCCTGGAGAGGAGTCACTGAGAACCACCAGCACCTCCCATAGCAGCGCAGGCCCTTCCAAGGACAGGTCCAGGCAGCAGCAGGTTTGTGCTCTGGCTCCAAAGTGGCACCTTGTTGCTGTGCTCTCTAGAGCGGAGGGAACTGTGATCTTATATTAGGGAAAACAGAATTGGGGTGAACCCACTCTGAACACCCTTTTTATAGGGGTACTAATCCACTCCTGAGAGCAGAGCACTTCTGGCTCAAACACCTCTCTTAGACCTCTCTTTTCAACATTGCTGAATTGTGGAATGTTGAGTTTTTCCTTCCCAGTGGTCCTTGGGTTGGTTCCTCACAACTGTATTCTCTGTCTCGGTGCAAAAGTGAACTTAAACTTTGAAGAGAACATGATATTGGGTATTACCTCTGATATTCAAAAACATTGGTTGGTATGCTATTGAACTTCACCGAGAATGCCCCATGGGCGATGGTATTTCCTGATGCCACAGGAGGTAAGATGGAAATAAACTCAAAGAAAGTCAGGCAGCACTGTGCTTATAGGACAGCCAGTCTCTAGATTGGGCTAACAAGGCTGGAGTTTCTGCTCATTCATAAAAAGTATTCTCATTTTGACCAGAACAGTTAGCAGACAAATCATCAAGACCACAACTCAACAGGAGCCCTCTTAGCGTGTCAGAGAGCTTTCTTGCTACAGATTGCAAACCAGAGTATCCCAGGAAACAGGACAATCTGGATATCCCCTTTAAGAAGTGTCTTTTCATGACAGCACACAAGGGAGGGGTGAGGATAGGTAAGACACCTAAAAAATTAGCTAGCATTTGTTGCCCTTAACGCAGACAAACTAAAGCAGATACCTTAAAAGCAACTGAGGCCAATAGGAAAAGGGGACCAGGAACTAGAGAAAAGGTTAGATCAAGAAGAATTAACCTAGAAGGTAACACCCACGCACAGGAAATCAATGTGAGTCAATGCCCTGTATATCTATCCTTATGTCAACCAGCAAAAACCCTTGTTCCTTCCTATTATTGCTTATACTCTCTCTACAACAAAATTAGAAATAAGGGCAAAATAGTTTCTGCTGGGTATTGAGGGGGTTGGGAGGAGAGGGAGGGAGCAGAGTGGATGGTAAGGGAGGGGGTGGGGGCAGGAGGGAGAAATGAACCAAGCCTTGTATGCACATATGAATAATAAAATAAAATTTAAAAAAAGTGCCTTTTCAAGCCATTTGCCCATTTTCTGAGTGACCATTTTATTGATACCATAGGTAGTCTTTATATATTCTGTATATGATCTTTTGTTTTATATATATATATATATATACACACACACATATATAATATCTCCCCATGGTTGATTTGCCTATTTATGATTTATTTTTCTTAGCATAAATACTTAACTTTAATGGACTAGAACTGATTTTTAAAAATATAATGTGCATATGTTAGTTATAATGTCAACACAATGAATATTGCAAACCTACCCCAAACTCTAGATGTCATCCCTGCTTGAGAATCACTTGCACCTCCTTTAGCCAACCACAGCTTCCCTCTCTATGCTTTTAGAGGTAACTACTTTATATTTTGGCTGATCATTCTTATGCTGTTAAAGTAGTAGCTTACAGTAGATATATATATAGAGAGAGATTCACAGCTCTAACATGGTCTGAATGTGTGCCCCCCATTTGTGTTCTGGAAGAAAGGAAGGAAGGAAATGTCTTGAATATCTAGAGAGACAGAGAGAATACCAAGTGACCAATCAATGCACGCTCAACCTCTTCCTTCATGGGGAAAATGTACATTAAAACTATAGTAAGCAGGGTGTGGGTGGCTCACACCTGTAATCTTAGGTACTCAGGAGGCAGAGATCAGGAGGATGGCAGCTTGAAGCCAGCCCAGACAAATAGTTCTCAAAAATATCCAGTGCACAAAAGTGCTGGCAGAGTGGCTCAAGTGGTAGAGCGCCTGTCTAGTAAGCATGAAGCCCTGAGTTCAAACCCCAGTACCACCAAAAAAAAAAAAAAAAAACAACCCTACAATAAGATACCACTACATACCAGACAAGATGGCTAATATGTAAGACTGACAAACTTCAGTGGCAGCAGTGCTATAGAGCGTTTTGGAAATCATTCTTAATTGCCAGAGGGAAGTAAATTGGTTTGCCTACTTTACTGAACAATATTTAAACACAAGCTTAATCCCACCATCCAGCAATTTCGCTCGCAGATATTTCACCGAGAGAAATTAGTACATGTCCATAAAAGACATGCACGAGACTGTCACGGCAGCCTCATTTATAAGAGCCCCAAACTGGAATCTGCCCAAGTGTTCATGAGCAAATAAATAAATTGTGCTATAGTCACAATTTGAAAGAACAAATTACTGATGCATACAACACATGGATCAATCTCTAAAATTATGTCGGGCAAAAGAAGTGAGATACATACTTACATGCATGGTTCCACATATGCAATGTTCAAGTGCAAGTTAATCACCTATGACCACAGAAGCCAGAGGAGTGGGTATCTCAGC